GGGCCGATATCTCTTTAAATGTTTGCTTTATTTTGTATGCGATGTACTGCTTTTTGTACAAAATTTGTTTAAGTAGTCCGAACTATTGGAGTGTTAGTTTGGGGAGAAGTGAAAGGCTGGAATTCGTATTTTGAGTGGGTACAGCCCATTACAGTTCATGTACTGTATACGCTTTAAGCATTTTCCCTTCGCGCACAGCGCATGAAATGTGCAGAAGTCTATTATTCAGTCAGTTCTTATGCGTGTTTAATCTGTTGTTGAACGTTGTCTCACTTCACAGTCCTAGTATCGCCAAAGCATGCCTTGACAGTGTTGTTTTGTACATTTTGTTACATTTTTTTTTTAAGAGGAAATATCCCTATTGCAGCACTTCGGCAAAGTCCTTCCAAACGACAACATCTTCCTAGACGAAGTTTCACTGAAAAAGAAGAGGAAATCAGTGGAATTGAGGATATCCAACGAAGACCATATGGCAGTCAGCAGTAAGTTTTAAACTTCAGACGTCGAAGTTTTTGTACTGAGTAGTACGGGTGCCAACTAGTTCAGGAAGATTCCCTGCGCCGAATACGTTGTTTCATAAGGTGTGCAGAAAATAGTTGTTTGAAGAACATTTTCTGAGCCATGTAATATGACCAGTTTCTTATCGCATCCCTTGCCGGCGCATGTCGCTGCTTTCACTCATTAGCTTCTAATTTTTCAGTTTCCTTTTGAGAAAACTTTTGTCGCCCAAAAATGCTTTTTCTCAAGTCAAACCTTTTTTTGCAAAAAGCGCCTTCCTAAAAATCACTGTTTTTTGAAGGAAACCGCGAGAGAAGAAGGTAGAGCGCCTGTTTGCTCCAGATCCTGAGCCCGCTGAAGCACGGAAATCAGCCGAGTCGCTTTCTTCCGATGAGAATATCATCGTAAGTTTGTTTGTGGCATTCAGTTTTGTTGCTGTAATTCGTTGCCAGGTGTACTCGTTCGGGCGAAAGCCTCCCTTTATCGCGCATTTTTGTTTCGCTTTTGCTTGCATGATTGCATTAGCATGCGGCACTATTAATTTCTTCCTGCTGTAGCATTTGTGCTCATCTTTCATTTGTTTCTTTTTTTGAGGGAATTTCATAGTCTTGAAAGTATATGGGAAAGGGCAAAGGCAGTCATAAATTAAACAAGCCAGCTTAGAGGGCCTCAGCTGATTTGCTTCTAACAAAAATATGTTCATTTATCTGTATTCAGAAATGGTGAAGAAGAATGCCATATTTGAACAAGCAAAGCGCAGGTGGCAGCAGGATGTCTTTCTAAGCGTTTTTGCATATATGCAAATGCAAAAGCGGATACTGTGATAACCCATGGTATGTGTGTGTGTGTATGCGTGTGTTTATTTGTGCGTGTCTGTCCAGATATTTCAACCAAACATGCTGCTAAAACCTTGCCAGTGGTTTCCCCGGCCAAGTGC